GGTGCTGGCGAATGAACTCGTGGTCGCTCCCGGCCGCTCCCGGGGCTGGAGGCCCTCTGAGAACTGATTCAGTCTCAGACGGTAAAAGAGGGGGCCCCTGCGATTTTGCTTAGATCGGATGGTTGATTTGCCATCAGCCTCCGGAAGCGCCTTATATACAGGCGGATTGGCGGTGATTCACCAGGTGCCAACTCTTCAGCAAGAAAGCGACCCCAGTTTCGAGTTTCAAAACACCGCCAATCAGTTTGTAGTATCAGGCACCTTTCTTTCATAAGTTCGCATCATTCGAACGCCTTGTGTCCCATCGGAGTGGCCATTCGATTAAGGTCCAAATCAAGGGATGGTCATCCGAGTCCTGGAATCCATGGGTTTTTATAGGAAAATCATCCCCTTTTATGGCCGCAAGATTCAGGTTAGTGTTTTTTTTTTTTAAATTTACCCATATATATATATATATTATATATGCATAAAAAATATATATATAATAGATATATATATATATATTCATGTTATAACTATTAAAGAATCGTGGTGATGATCATAGCCCGATCATCCCATGTACTGTAACCTGATATATCGGAAATCGGTATCCGAAATAATCAGGTGGTGTAATGCGGTTTCAACATGTTTCAACTGTTTTTTTTAAAAAATGTTGATATGTTGTTTGAAAAGTTTCAACTGAAAATAGGTTTCACCTTAATTTTGTTTGGCTTGAGATTTAAACAAAGGCATCCTCGTATCCACCAACAAAGTCAGATTGGCATCCTCAATTCTCATGGTTAAACTCGATGGTATCTACTGAGAGTGAAGGATAGTGCTTCCCATCATGGCTTATCGTAATCCTCAAACCTTTGTGCCTTCTGGTTTTCAGAAAAATGGCTGGAAAATCATGATTTCAATAGCTCTGTCGTGTGCAAGTCTGTTTTTCTCCATTGCCACAATAAATGGCCATGGGTAAAAACTATATGATAGCATATAGCTTACATCTATAGTCTTTAGTTTTACTCTTTTTTATTTATATTCATAACTAGCACCGTCTACTCTACGTATTTATGTTCACCAGGCATCAGGGCATTAGGGTCTTGCTCCTCCTACCACTCCGATGCGAAACAGGTTGCCTGTTTTTTACTCGTAGGGTGTGGATTGAGAGGCTTGGCCCTTCAGAAGTGGCGCCTTTCGATTCGTCAGTCGAGTCCAGACTTGAAGCGAGTTGTCGTTGCCATTCCCTTTCCTCTAAGTAACTTCTATGCAGATTTTTCGAAATAATGTGGGTAAAACATGGTAGTAAAGCAATGCCATTTGCACCATCCCCCAGTCATCACCATAAATATACAGGTGCTATAAACTTTCCATTTCCAGTCATGGGTGGTCTGTGAAAATGGCTGACATCATCACAGGGTGATTGTTTCATCATGGTTCACGTCTATGGGGACGATCAGTCTCGATGACTGTCAGATTCAGCTGCATATCTGTAATACCCGGCCTGGTTATGACTAACATAGCCATGGTATAGATGGCCCATTTATAGATGGTCTACCTATTAAACATGGTGATTTTCCATGGCTATAATAAACCAGATGGTAAATACTGGCCATAGGTCTGAAGAATTTTCAACATGCAGGATGTTTGTTGCCATATCCTTTAATATCCTTCAACGATCTTCAACGTTTTTGTTACAGCGCAAGCGTTTCATGAGGTGTTCACTTCCAAACCGCTCGCACAGCTCTTGTGGGCTCGTGGACTTGCTTTCCTCGGTCACCGGACCACGGAAAAAGGTTGTGGAAAACGGCGAAGTTCGGAGTTGAGCAAAGGGATTTCTATGGATAGCAAGGATTTTTTATGCAGTGAAAGAAGAAGAGGAAGAAGAAGAAGTGTTGGTTTCACCATGTTTCACCATTAACACGCAATTGTTTTGTTTTTTTCCAGCAACCAACATTGACATCATTGACATTGGCAATCCAGGGCCTCAGAGTACAGGGATTCAGGGAGGAATGGAACCAGTTGCTGGGTCCCTTCGTGATGGCTTTCAGTGCTCGCCTTTCCTGGACCTTGTGGTGCCGAGAATATGTTTGTGCTGGGTGGTCGACATGGTATGCAAGTGTGACATGCTCGGAGATTCAGGGGTGAGTTGTTTCGCCATATCAAATAACATTGGCGTGCAGCAGAAGCAAGCAGAATCAACGAAACATATTGAAGAATTAGGAAGATGAATCTTCAGAAAAAGAAGGTCATAGAGTGCAAATTGCAGGGTATATTTGGATATATTTGGATAATTGGTCCACACCAAAAAAAGGTTTGGAGTGAATTAGAACTTTTGACCAATCCATGTTCCATGAGCTCTTTGAAACCTGGCGATGGAAAAACGTCTCCCATGAGCCATGGCTGTAGTCTAAGACACATTCACTTCTCATGGTTTTATGTTTTATGATGTTTTATTATTCTTATTGCTTTGAAAGGGGGGAAGTAGGTGGAATATGTGGAAAATTGTGGAAAACTTCCAGTTGAACAAAAACAAACAGCTACATACAGTTACTACCATGCTTTCGCTTCGCATTGGCCCGGCTGTTGAGTACCCAGCAGACCACCAGCAACTGCGAACTCCGAGTCGCAGTCCCTTTTCTTTTTGTGCCGAGCTCTCTTTCAGATCAGCATCCCGTGCCAAGTCCCGTGGCGCGTGACGTTGGCGAAGGGCCAGGTATGAAGTCGAAGCGGGGCTATAGAAGGTGGTCGCAGTATCGATGATTTCTTGGGGAAGATGGAAAATCTGGAGCTGTTTTGGATACAGTTAACAGCTGTTTTTAATAATCCCATAGGATCCATGGTGCTGCCATATATGGTGCTCCATGGATCCCATCAATATACCCCCTTTATGTTAGCATACCAGCACCATGGATCCGTCATGGCTATTGTTGAAGGCCAGTTTATCGAGTTGTTCTGTCGTCCCAAGCTGATGTGTCACGGTCAAAACCATGGGTTAGTTTCCCATATTTGGGGATGGTTCAGGATTCCAATGATGGGATGGATGACAAAAAAAACCAAAAAAAAACCTAAAAGACATCCGAAGCTAGTCTGATGGACCAATCTATGCCTGCAATGACACCACGGCTAGGATAATTTTAGATGTTCGGCTGGCAAAACAGTTGTGTGACATATACATATTATATCATATTATTCGGACCCCAGAAAGATTGCGTCCCTGATCACCTACACTCACTCCCTCAATGTTTACCCATAACAGAGTGTATTCACCTTTTTCTTGTACCTTTCCATACATATCCCACTTTGTATCCTGGTCGTTTTCAAGTTTTGGGGTTGCTACGCTCTAGCGATTTGGTTCAAGAATCGGCGACCAATGGGTCAATGGGCCTACTCGGTTTTCTTCAGTATTAAACCACCCATTTTTGAGGCATGATATATAATTTGAAGTATTACCCATATGATACTCAGATTTCTGTCAGTTGTATACCAGTTGTACCTTTTGTCCCCGAATTCTGTTGGTAGATTCTTAACGTTCAAGCATTGTAGCCCAAAATTTCTTGGTCGCATCTCATTTTGATTGAACAAAAACAAATTTGTTCAATGTGTTTTTTCTTTGTCAGCTAATTTCAAGGTGAACTCTCGATGTTTGTGAAACATCCTGATTTTGTGCAGCTTCAATCGGCGTTCGACTTCTTTTTATAGACCTTAAGTTTCTGAATCTTAAGAACCTTCATGATCCATAAAGCGGTGGATCAATAGCTACCAGATGTACGGTGAACATGTTTTTTCCAGCCTATCTTCATGTGAAAACCTTCACGGCTTTGGGGCCGTCCCGTGATCGACGATACGACACCGCGAAAAACGTCAACGTTGCGCAACGGAGCGAAAGGGGGGCAGCGCTGGTTGCAACGGGAATTAACACCTTGGTTGATGTAGCTTGATCAATTGACAGTTGGTTCTTTTGTTATTTTTTGTTTAGTTTATTTGATAACTTTGCTACAATTCGTAAACTAAATCCTGAACAGCTATGCATAGCTACGTTCTTGTGCAGGGCAAAGCGCAGGTACAGCGGTGGTCTGAACTCTCGTTTTCGAGAGAGAAAGGAACCATGCAACCAAACATGTTTTAACTTAAGCAAAATAGAGTTGTGCTTACAAGACTTACCCTCTGGTTATTTAACATAGCCATGGAAACTGGCCCATTTATAGATGATTTTCCCATTAAAACCTCCATTTATGCCGGGATTTTCCATTGCTATGTTAAATAACCAGATGGTATTTGATCAATGAAGAATTATGTTTACTAAACGACGAGTTTTCCAAAAACTTTCCAGCTGGATGAAGGATTTTTTTCATCTTCAGGCAGTCAGATTTTCAGAGACATCCATATATTAATTGCGGGTTTTATAATAAATATGGTATATGGATATATGGAGGTTTCCTGAACTATGGCTACTCTAAACCATAGGTCTTCCCTTTGATTACAAGCAATGACTTGGTCATGTTTTCGGGGTACCCCATTGTCAGGAAACCTCCATGTGTTTATATTATTCTGATATTGATATGTTCTACAATGTGAGGCCCCCAAGATAGCTAAGTTGGTTTATGACTCCAATGACTATGGTTTATGGTACTTATAACTGGGGGGCCTCACATTGTATGTGTTCAATGGTTTCACCATTAAAAACTCATTAATGCATTAAATGGCCATACATTGCTGTTCTCACGTGCACTGCAGACCCATCGTGAAGGAGTCACTTTGACTGCGTAGCACACACACATCAATTCTTGTTAATACATGTTGTAACATCTATAATATGTGTATATATAATATGTGTATATATATATATATATAACATGTATGTATAGATAGAATTAAATATAGATAGATAGATAGATAAGTATATAGGCTATAGGTAGTTAGATATTTACAAATACATGTATATAAAACATACAATCTCCACTGTCCACTCATGCTACATCCATGGGGTCCACAAGATTTCCGACATTGCCATCTTTGGAGGTACGTTTGTTGGGTGAAGATCCTATTTTCGACAAGCTGGCGCAGGCCAAAAGGGGAATCCATTGAGTGATGTTCCACAGTGGTATGTGAAATTGCCATAGAGTAGTTGAATAATTACCTTTAACTATAATATATATATACAGATATATATATATAATTATATATAATATATACTTGTTTCAATAGTTGTTCAATACAGATTTAAGACCTGCAATCAGCAGTGAGAATATGTTTTTGATGTTCGAAATCACATATTAATGTCAATTTTGGAGTGAGGTTTTTCCCAGTGACGTGCAGTCTGACTGTTAAATCTGTATCGGATGGGTGTCCCAGCAGGGCAGGGTCTCCGAAATTCGATATGGATGATATGGGATGCCAGTGGTAACAGAACTGTGGGGCGAGATGAAGCAACCTGGCAACCAAGGGAAGGATGCTTAACTGGATGACAAATTAATTGGGTCGGGACCCAGGGTATGATTGAACTTGGCAAGAGATGAGATGGCTCACTGCCATATTTTTTTGTTGTGGTTGATTCTTGAAGCTAGCTGCTAGATGAATACTGTAACCATGTGTAACCACAGCCTTTGACAAAATTCCTTGAAACCCAAGAACCAATTCAACACATACAATTTGAATGAAGATCTTGGATTTGTGGCTTATCATCCCACTACTTCAAGGCCCCGTAGATCAGCAGAACCAAGACTACGCGAACAGTAGAAGCCCTCATTTTTGCTAAGGTTTCATGATCAATACATTACCCCTAACGGCAATTTTAGAGTTGGACCTTCTGTTTCGAGGGTTCACTTCAGGACCATTCAGGACCGATAAATTCATTGTCGAGACATTGGAATTTTGAACAGGGCAGGACCCTGACTTTACAGAGCCTTTTGTGGGCCAAAAGTGCAGCTGAAGATGTTGGAGACATGCCCCTTTTTTATGTGGCCAGCAGCGTTCAGAAACCCTGTTGGTCGGGACATGACCTGGGCATCAGATGTGCCCTTCTGGTCAGGCTGACAGTTGTGCCCTTCACCGCGAGAACCAGGTGAGGGCCTTTGTATGCTTTCAGGATCTGTAGATCATTCTATATCTGTCAGGTGGATATAGAATCATATAGAATCATAGGAACCTATAAGCTAACCTAAGCCATGGGAAAACCCAATGGGAAACCCAACTGCCGCAACTCTTTTAACCGGTCAATGGCATCACGTGTGTTGCCATCATTCCACGGAGATAAATCTGGTGGGTTTCAAGATGTGTAATTTTTGTCTCAAGCCTATGACTGTTGATGTATGATTTTTGGATGATGATGATGATCCCTCTACTTTCTCGCAGATGTTTTTTTTTTATTATTATTTTTTTTTCGAGTGGTCAGAAGCACCGAAAAACCAGATGTACATAGCTATGATATGCGATTGTGTTATGTAATGTTATGTATAAACCCAGCAAATCACCACTTTAGCATAACAATTACATAGCATTACATAGCACAATATGGTTACATAACATCAGATATACATAACAGATAACCCCTAAATATGTTAGATATTTTGATTGTTCAATATGGGGAGAAACCGCTCGTGTAAGCTCGCCGTGGGTGATGCATTAACCAAAGGGGGCGATTTCTATGGTTGGATGTTTAGTCGGAGATCATTGGAATATGACATACCATGAGTCAATAGATTGGTGGGACAAATTACAGGTTTAAGCCCCATATTTTATGGGAAAATCCTGATGTTTCCGGTGAGGATTTTCCTGTAAATCCATTGAATGAGAGTAAAATTCACATCCCCATTGGATGGGCCAGCAGCTCTGTTTTTTTTTTGCATATGAATAAACTATGTTGGTAGCGGACAAGACAAGTACGAACACCAGGATTTTGCAACAGATGTTTTAACACGTGTTTGTTTTTTTGCTTTATTATTATCATCATTTTTTTTATTATTGTTATTATTATTATATATAGTTATATACATATATGCATATATATATATACATACACTATTTTGCTTCCGGAGAGTCCAATTTCAGTGGCTCCTGCCGAGACTCGGGTGTTGCGCAACTGGACGAAAGAGATGAAGGTCCGGGGTGGAGCCCCAGGAATCCATGTTGGTAATGTTGGTAGCTGAACTGATGGGTTTAGGATAGATTTTTCACATATTACCCTCTGGTAAACTAACATAACTATGGAAAATCACCATTGTTCATGGGAAAATCCACTATAAATGGCCATTTTCAATAGCTATGTTAAATTACCAGAGGGTATGTGGGTAAAACAATGCCATGTTTAAGTGTTTACCATCCCCCAGTCATATATCACCATAGATATATAGGTGGTATGGTTACCACTTCCGGTCATGGGTGGTAAAAATGGCATTGTTTTACCCATGCAGATGATATATTATATATAGATAATGTATCTTTTGCATCACGGATATCTTCCTGATTTTCACTGGCCAGAGTTGAGTAGTACAGAGGGGCCGTTCAAATATTACAAATACTCGATTGACATGTGTTTTCATGAGCCATAAATCATCAGATTTGCTGCTTCATTTAGGTTTTATACTTGTTGTAAGGTGTTTTGTTCAAGAAAAGGACAGCTCTATTTACAATCTCACAGTTGCTACTTATAAACCATCTAGTATGTATATACATACATTATTTTGGCAGATCTTATACTGGTAATTTAGTACTTTCATATGTTGCTATGCCTGAATATATACATTTATATATACTAACCAGCTAAACACTGTTTTGCATAGTATTTTGGATTTGCCATTATATGATGTATACACATATATATATACATATGTTGAATTGGTAGCGGCCCCTCACCTTTCACAACCACAATGGCCTCCTGGCCTATTCACCTTGTTGTTATACTTCTCGATTTATGCCCTCAACCCGGCAACCATCCACGAGCCGCGGCCACGCGGTCTTTTCACTCCACGACGACCCCCTGATCGCTGAGCCTACATATGTCGGAACATCAGGAAGATGTTGGAGAAGAAGTGGCATCCCTTCAAGGCAAATGATGGAATTCACACTCGTCAAAAATCAATATATCAAGTGTTTTATCCAGTTTCTTTGATTTGGCAAAAGAGATGCAGTGGTGAAAAAAAAACCCAGGTTAATTGGCATCTTTTGGTTTTGAGTGCTCTGTAGAGATTTGCTCCTGCCACATTTTTCGGGCACGTTTGTCTGCCCTTTCTCGGAGGATTTCATCCACATCGTGGATGATGCATTTTCCAACGTGTAGAAAACTGCGAAGGCTACTTCCATCCATGGATTTGGTCAAACAATCTGCTAATTGAGCTGCTGAATGAACCCATTTGATGAGGATTCCTTCTTTCAGTCGATCTTTGATAATGAGGGCCTCCAACATCGTTCTGTATTCTTGGCACTGGGGAATCGTTGTTTTCTGAATGAGGTCATATAGACTTTTGCAATCGACGACTGCATATGCTGGTGGAGAATTTTGAAGACATTGTTCTGGTTGTTTCCATCGGTCACTTGGATTGCAAATCCAACTCCAGTGAATGCGAAGCCAGGAAAGCAGGTCTACTGAACCACTGAGAGCATAGGCCTCGGATGCTAACGTGCTACCTACTACTCGGGCTATCTTTCGGGAATACCAAATTAACGGACTGACATCGCTTGATTGCCATTCGCCAATCTGCTTTGAAGCCGCAAGAATAAGGCACCCCTTTTGGGACTGAGAGTTGGCACGGTTTGCAAATGACGCATCTGAAAATGAAACAAACCGTAAATCGTCCAAAGGAATACTTTTGTGTAGGTGATCTTCACATCTTTGTGGGTTTTCAGTTCATGGAGTAGCTTGTTTGCCTCAAGCAGATCCTTAATGCAGGCTGAATTGATCTTTGCCTGTAACAGGCTGAGCTTTGCGGAACTGTCTGGTCTCGTATTGGTGGCTGCATATTGTACGCTTCCAATGAGTGCTCTGAGATGTTGACGTTCTTGTTCATTTACTTTTTCATCTGATTGCATTCTTCTTGAACGTTCAACGTGAATGGGTGTGATATCTTCCACATATTTAGTTTGATCGAGTTCTATGGATCCATCCCAGTTCTGATGTACATGTATACCTGTGAATATGAAATCCGTCTCATGTTTGCTGCCAAAAGGATATTTTGCCTCCAATTGTAAAATTGCTTGGTTGAAAACTTCATCTCCCGCTCCCAGGCCATCGTCGACATGTATACCAACCAAACCATGTATTCCTGATCCATCCTTCTTGGGTAACACGAAAAGACAGGGATCCAGTGGAGATACCAAAAAAATTAATCGCATGAGAGCTGCACGAAGTTCTTCATACCAGAGTAGAGGAGCATTGACAAGGCCATATGCACTCTTTAATAGTTCACAGCATTCCCATGGTTTGAGATTCATCAATTGTCGCATCTCATCGGGAGGTTCCATACCCAATATTCGACCGTCTTGACGACTACCTCGAAGGAATGCCGTTTGAATATCAAATGATCGGATTTTGGTTTTGGTTGAAGCTGCATACTGAAAAATTAGTGATCGGGAGTCCTTGCCCAGTGTTGGTGAATCTCTTGCCAATGATTCCAGTTGTGGGTCTTCATAGCCGAGAATGACTAGTCTGGCCTTGGGCTTGAACTTGGGTCCTGTGGATTCTTCTTCGCTCGTAGGTTCGATAGGTTTCCATGTTAGGACCCATCGAGAACGAAGTATTTGCTCTTCTGGGATCTGACTCCTTGCAATTTTCCTCACAGTTTCAGTGGACAACCAAGATTTGATTTCCTTTTCTTTGGCTGACTTAAACAACGCTAAGTCGGCTGGAGACAGTTCCTTTTCTCGCACCTCAGCACGCTGTTTCTTGGCGGTGGATGCCAAGGCAATGATCTGTTCTGGCATGCTCATTTGGCTGCAGTTCTGAATTTCGGCCATGGTCAAGGTGAGGGCTACTTCATATCCCTTCGTGGGTGTCTGCAAGCATAAGTTATTGTATTCCACTTGAGTTGGACAGTGCTCCATATGTTGTGGCTTGACTTTGAATATGGTTTGCCCAGTCCATGGTAACGGTAGTGATTTGTGCGCTTGTATGTTACTTTTCCAGGTGTCATGAATATTCCATGATGTTTGATCTTTGGTAGTGACATTGGTTTGTCGAGTCTCTTCCAACCATTCAATCGGTACCGGGCATGTATTGATGTTCGTGGGACAGAACAATGTGATTCGAGGAACAACATGTTGTCGGATAACCTGATCATCTTGGATCTTCCAATGATCCTCCATGTGCATGTATAGACCTTCTTCGGAGCTTGACCAGTCATTTTCTGGGACGGGAACCTCTTCAGGTTTTGTTTCAGGAGCATTGTCTCCTCCTGCAGTTGTGACACCTGGTGGTTCGTCCACTCGGCTCTCCGGGTTTTCTCCGGGTTCGGAGTCAGGCTGAGTATCTTGAGCATTCTGTGACACATTATCTGGCAAACGGTTTTGAGGAGTCTCAGCGGTGTTGGAAACCACTGGGGTAATCTCCATGATTTCAGTTCTTACCAGATTGGGTTGTTCCGGAGGTCCTGCCTGCCTTGTCATGTCGTGATACTGGAAAACCCCGCTACCAATTTGTGATGGATCTTCGGCCGGGGTGGCATTATCAGTCACAGGAATTCTCTCTCTCTCTCACGCTCTGATAAGGCTCGCAAATGCTCAGGTGCACATCGGTACAGTTGGCTCAAATGGCTAATCCAAATGATTTGATGGCTTTCACTGAGTACTACTTTGGCGGGCCCATGCCACATTCCGGGCTGATTCCCCTTTCCGTTACGCCAGAACATGACCCAGTCCCCTTTCTCGGGAAGGTCTCGGGCAGGTCGTTGTCTGCGCAGCCAGGCACGTCGGAGCTTGAAATCATGATCACTTTGGACAAAAGCCATTCTGGCTCTTTCTCTCAGATCTAGATTGGTCTTAAATCGCAACATTTCCCCCGACAACGGCAAGTCAGGATTTTCTTCCAGATATTCTGCTAAGTAGTCAGAAGGACCCTCTTCCTCGTTGGACAGGGATACTGGTGTATGGCGCGATTTTCCTAACACAAGGATTTCAGGGCTGTATCCACGGTGTCTGGACATGCTGTTCTTGGCTGCCGTGCATTGCATGAGTGCCTGTTCGAATGCTTCCAATGATGTGATTGGCTGGTCCTTATGTAAGCGATTCAGCATTTCTTGGAGTATAGAGCCATGTCTCTCGCACTTGCCTAGTTGCCAGTGGGCCTCGGCTGGAATCACGACACTTTTGATGTCGTGAGCTTGCAAGAAACGTCCAAACTCTTCGCTGCAAAACTCACCGGCACTGTCCGTCATTAACATTTTTGGGGGTCCCGCCCATGAGAACCACATTCTGCTCATTTGTTGTGATATTTCATGGCTGGAGGGTCGGTGTTGAAATGGAAATGCAACTTGAAAATTGGTTCCTGAATCTAAGATGTGGTAAAAGGTGAACTGATTGCCTTCAGAATTGGTCCACTGTACCCCATCCATGGTGATCAGGTCATTGAATTGTCGGGGCTCGGACAGGTGGCTTGGTCGAGCAATCTTTGGACGGCTCTGCTCAAAACACGTTGGACAATGCATGTCTTTCAATCCCTCAATGGCTTCCATCGGCCAGCCTTGATCACGTAAAACATTTCCTAACAAAGTAACATTGGGATGTCCTAAGTTGGAGTGCATACGGATTAGCTGTTGTCGCTGCTCACTACTGAGTCGCATAAACTTTGGTCCATGCTGGGTCTTGGAAACCAGGGATTGTTTCTCTACGGATGGCTCAAGGCTTTGGGAACTCTGGGAGCTGCTGGGCTCCGCATCTGCAATTTCCTTGTCATCGCAAGGATTAATTCGGGGTCGCTTGGTCGCGGGTGGCTCTTCGAAAAATTGTTGATCCGTCTCCCTTGGTGCGACATTTGGATCAGTAGATCGTTGGGCAGCAAAAACAGTGATGATCAGTCTGGCTGGAGGTGATTTCCTGATCAACTGCTTCCGGGTGAGATGAGTCCAATCTTCCCACTGTTCTTCCCAAAATACTGATGCATTAGTTCTGT